CATGTGGATGCCTTAGCGACGTCCCTGCGCTGGAGCTACATACTAGAACGGCAGTGATTCAAACGGCGTACAAAATATAAATATGTTATAATTGACGAGGTTGTTGGCGCATTCGCGTGCGAATTCTACATTATTCTAAATAAAATTCAAAATAAATAAATCTATTATTACTTGATCTGACGGGACTATCATGTGCATCACGCAAGGAGAGCAGTTTTGCAACATTTGTTTGACAAGTTATTGAATTGTCTTAGATTAATGAGACAGCAGTTTTACGTGATACGCGACCACCTCATGCACGCAAACAGCGGGTTGATAGGACTGATAGCAATGGTTGTTTTTGAAAGATCAAAAACCGAACAAAGCCCCCAACCTAAATGGTAAACGCCTGCTCGCAGGGTAGCCTATTTCGACAGTTGCGATGTCAAATGTGATGAGTCATCGCGTATTTTTTACACTACGCAAACTACAGTCTTTAAAAATATCTGAATGACGGCTTTGGATTAGTATAACCAGGTCTTCGTAGATATTGTCATCATCAATAGTTCGCGCCTTTGGCGCTCAACTTGTCCCCCCCTCCCCCACTTTGTAAACCCTGGTCACGCCACTGCCTAGTATCCAGGGCGTCTGCCTGAAAGTCACAAGCGGAAGCCCTGGGTACGAGGTTGTAGAAGGCCTAGCCTACGTTGTACATGTTCTGCATATAACGGTGCAGTAGACTGAGCACAGGCTATGGAAGGCCTATAGTAGATTTCCCAATAAAAATGATCAAAACTGCATGCCTCACACTTATCGAAAAAAACAAAAGGTCATCAAGTTTAGATTAGTGTCAGATAAAGATTACATTAGGGCTAGGTTAAGATTATGTTAGGATTAGTGCTCAACATGTATCGCGATTTATCGTATTGATAATTTCGGACGTGTTTAAAAATTTACTCGTATAGTAAATTCAAAGGTGGAGCTCATGCTGCTTTCATTAGGCCCTTTCATTAATTATTTTCCCTGCCTCGTGGCACTTAGAGCACTCTTGCCCATTCATGTTATCTGCCGTACGTGTGAATCTCCATTGCTGTTCCACACTGAAACAATATGCCAGCAGCAAATACTTTTACAATATATAATTAGTAATTGGTGCATGATCCACCATCCAGATTGTTGAACGCTGTACTAATGAGCTGCAGTATAGTGAAACATGCATTGAAAGAATAGTATCTTAAAGTTTCACATATATAAAACATTCAAATAAACAGTTGCCGTTTGCTTGCACGATTTTTTTTCTCTGAATTATTGGCTGCAGGAATTTTTTCCAGTCATTTTTCTTTGCACATTTGTTTTTAATTGTCACCCCCTCCCTCCTCCTCCCCTCCGGGATTCCTAATGGTCCGCCCTTTAAGAAGGCCCCTACAGTTTCCCCTGAGGCTCATTTAGCCGAATTATTCAGACGTCATTCTCGCGTCCCGCGCGTGGAATATTTGTGAATTTTTTTACACAAGCAGGTTTCAGTTGGCAAATCTTCATATAGCAGTTTTTCTTATATCTTCTTATATTATATAAGAAGATTTTTTCTTTGCAAAAACTTATACCTTTTTACATTATTCTCATTGATTGTTCTACTTTGACATAAATGTTATATGGTATTTTACATTGTGTCAAAAAGAAGTTTGCTATTGTCTATTATTTACAATGTGTTGGCGACATCCGATCGTTTAGTTCACTTTTTGAAAATCTTCTAAAATTGTAAAAAATCTTTATCATTAAAAAATTATATTAAAGTAAGATATATAAGAAGATTTTCTTTTATATATATTATATATACGATATCTTATATATATATTCTATATCTGATTTTAATAGTGTTTATCTTGGAAAGAAAGATGGCAGCTTTTTTAAATCTTATACGTATAGTGACTATGTCTATGTCTATAGTATAGTGTTAACCAGTTCTTAACGAGTGTTTAGTATGTTTTTCATCCACTATAACATTTAGACTTGTAAAACAGTAGCCGAATTTATATTAGAAGACGGATTTCCGTCTAAGACGGGAAACTCGTCTCAGACGAGAAACTCGTCTTGATATATAAATTCGGTTAACGACGGGTTTTCCGTCTCAACTTTTCCGTCTAACTTTCCCGTCTGAACGACGGGAAAGTTAGACGAGTTTCTCGTTGTCGGAGACCTTTAAGTACTTTATAATACGAAAAACATATAGTTCATTTTGTTTAACCTTATTTGGTTCGCGCGCGTGATTACCACGCGAGGACGCTTTGTGGGGGGCAGTGAGAGAATTTACATTTCAAAAAGGTAGGGATGGGCGATACCAGCTTTTTCATTCGATACGATATTTACTCGATATTTGCCATTTTTTTTCGATATCGATACCGATGTCGATATTTTCCCAACTCGATCAACCACAACAAGAAAAGACTATTTTCATTTCTTCGACGCCAAAATCATGCTGGTTGAATACGTTTTCAACACGTTTATTTTCATGATTGTAACTAACATAACCACAAACTCTGATCCTGCCCGTGGACCATTAAGCACCATAGAAAATGAACTATTTTGATAGTATTTACGCCTATTTAAGCTTTTTGGCATCATTTTCATGATGAATCCGCTGACCACAATGACAAAATATCGCAGGCTCAGAAGTATCGAAACAATCGATATTTCCTGCCTGTATCGATACTTTTCTTCAAAACCCAGGTATCGATAGTATCGAGTATTTGGTATCGATATCGGCCCATCCCTACAAAAAAGGCGAGATATTTCTGTGATTTGTGAAACGAAAAATATAATCTTTTGTAAACGGTTAGTGAGTGAGTGATTTCTTTATTGTCGGGGAAGCAATCCCGACCATACCTAATTTTAGTGTGCAGTGATAACCAATTTGTGCAGTGATAAAAGTAAAATGTGCAGTGATAAAATGTAAAATGTGCAGTGATAAAATTTGCTTTGATAAGTTGTTAATTAACACAAGAGAAAGATTTAATTGAAATTGAAATGATGACTGCCAAATTATCGAATTAAATAATAGTATATGTTTTTGTGTACGAAAATCATGAGATTCAGGCAATTTTTAGTTAATATCTGGCTTTTGGTATGTCCGGAAAAAATTTTTGACCCTTAATTAAAATAGTACACTGACCAAAATTTTTTGGCGACGGGGGGGGAGGTCGCCAAAAATTTCCGAATATTCGGAAATTTTCTTAGTCATTCGGAAATTTCTGGCATAAAATGTGCAGTGATAAAAAATTCTTAAAATTAGGTATGATCCCGACAAAGTGGCAACCGCCGATGGAACATACAAGAAATATCGAATTTAAACGGGATTTTGTGCTGATTTTAACGTGTAAACATGGGCGACTAGTGTTGACGTTGTGAATATATTTATTGAAATTTCTCAGCGAATATTTACTTTAACTGGAATTTTTATTCATTAAACGAAGGATTGTTATTGGTTATCGAGCATATCTTCTGGGATTTTCGAAGTGGACATCAATACATTATTTAAATTGCGAAAAGGAATATTTTGGACGGTGAGTTGTTCTGTATAAATATTGTAGCGTGGTGGATCTCGGTACGTAGCTGGAGTGATTAAACAATTTATCATTTGGGTTCTAATGAGTGGCTGAATCATGTAAAGGTTTATTCAGGATCGGGGTTTAATATTGAATCAGCTAGAGTATTATCTATCGAATAGTGTGCTTGGGACACTTTTACAGAAATTGAAGACCTCAATATATAACTGGATTGATCAAACAAATTGTATATAATCTTACCCATCAAGGGTCCTAATATGGCAACTATGGAAACATTGTTGAAATCGGTAAATACTAAACTGCAAATGCTGGAATTTACAAATGAGAGTGTAAGGGAAGCTCTAGAACTAGGGATCCAAGGATAGTGTGAAGTTTCAAAACACTGCAAGAACTATATAGGGTCGCCGACAACCCAGAAAAGCTGATGGCTTACACTACGAAATAAACAGTTACCAAAGGCATTTCATCTCATTATTTATTGCTTTTAATGCGCTCGGCACACGAATAGCGTGACGTTTGAAACAAGCCTAACACATCAGAAACATGCCTTGTGAAACTGATGCAATTTATCTATTTATCGTGATGCTACACGCGACAATTCAAAATTTAAATTATTTCACCAACAACCAAATTTTGCATATTCTAAATTCTCATTTGCATTTGCAGCTGTCGCTTAAAGCATCCCCACGAGGCTACTGCTATGCTAAATTTATCTAATAAACTATAATTGAAATAGCTGTATAAGATATGTTATGAATAATAAGCACTACGTCGTTACATCATTAAAAGACGCATTTTATCCTCATC